ACGCTGTTTGTTGTTGTTGTTTAGTCACTAAGTCTATCTTTGCCCAAAACTTTTGTGACCCTTTTGTAGGCCATGAGGCCTCTCTGTCCATGTGATTTCCCAGATAAGAATACTGGAGTGCGTTGTCATTTCCTTCTCCAGGGGATCTTCCCAGACCAGGGATCGAACCTGTGTCTCCTGCACTGGCAGGCAGATTCTTTACTATTGAGCCACCAGAGAAGCCTGACTGTTTGCTCTATCTCAAATCCATTTTTGGTACATTAAAATCAGTATTTCTAAAACATCCATTTGACCCGGCCACTGTCTTAGAACATCCAGGATAGAGTAACTTGGGTATCAAGATCCATCATTAACTAGTTTCATTTTCACTGTTGGAATTTATCTAAGACTTGTTTCCACTGGAATTCTCTGCTTGGGGCTGATCTCTCGACTGTGTTCCAAATATTCCAAGAGGGTTCCCTCTCTCTGCTCCTTGTTTTCCTTCTTTCTACCAATTCAGTCCTAATTTTCAAGGTTGCATTCTTCCAGGCCATGCTCCTTTCTTCTATGAGTTTCTCTGTGCAACTTACTAATTAAAGCACTGCTTTGGCCATTGCACTCTACAATCTTCAATTCTTTACTGACCGATCATGATATAATATACTGTCCTTTTAGATCACAGCCACTTGGAAGCAGGGTCATAGCTCACTAATCTTCCATGTTTCCCTATTACTAACAGAGTATTTCTCAGGTGTCTACTCATTATCTGACCAACAATTTTCTGATAAAACAAAAGTGACCATTTTGTGTCATATTAATGTAAGCACAAACTCGAACAAAAATTAAGTTCACTGTGTCCCCCTATATTAAAGGTGGAAACTGAATAATGCAGAGTAATTACTGGTAATTTGAGATCATCTGCCACCGATCTCTTTAGTAGCCTGGAGGAGGATAGATAAGCTTCTGTTCTTTAATGCTCATTTACAAAATATTCACTGACTTTAATCTGGAAAGGGAATTTTATGTACAGTTTAAATACAAGAGTCTGATAATGAAAATAGATGGTACATACATATTATAAAGGTTCTTTCACCAAAAAGAATGTATGAGGGATTAAAATAATTTGTAATACATTGGGATGACCCTGAGGGATGAGAGGGGGGTTCAGGATGGGGAACACATGTACACCCATGGCTGATTCATGTCAATGTATGGCAAAAACCACTATAATATTGTAAAGCAATTAGCCTCCAATTAAAATAAATAAATTTTTTAAAAAGTAAGTTGTAATATATTGAGAGCATATTATTGAAAAGTTGAAACCACAAATTATCAGTGTCAGAGGACTTAGGTGGGAGATGAAAAGCTTCACCACGGGCCTAACAAAATACAATACATTCTGTACCTTCTTTTTATTAGAATTTTGGTGAAATTGCACTGTGGAGGGGTGGAGTTCTGGGCATATTTCTGACAGGGGGAGACTTTGTGCTCTCTTAGTTCAGAGATATAAAATTGGAGGAGGTCATACTATCTTTAGAGAAAATGCAGAATTAGAAATTTGCAAGGCTGGCTAAAGAATCTAGGGCAAATAACATGATGTCTTTAGTTTCTGTTTGTTATCTGATGAGCTGATGTGTAGATAGCTAGCTTTAATTCTAGAAGGTGCCACAATTTGAACTGGTTTTTCTTAGGAATACTGTAAGATGAAAAACCGATTAGGCAGAGGTAGGGGGCAGGGAGAACAGGGAAAGGTTTTTTTGTTTTTCTTTTTTATGATCGTATAGAGTGAGTGAATGAGTGAGTTAAAGTCGCTCAGTCATGTCCGACTCTTTGAGACCCCACGGACTATACGGTCCATGGAATTCTTCAGGCCAGAATACTGGAGGGGATAGACTTTCCCTTCTCCAGGTAGCATAGAACACAGTGATAAAAAAGGATGAGTAGGGGTTCTGTGTGTCTTTAACAGAAGAGGGAAGGTGTATGTATGTGTGTGTGTGAGAGAGACAGAGAGAGAATGTAAGAACAAGTTTTAAAACCTTAGTTTGAAGTGAGAGCAGTGTAAAGCTAGAAATGACAATGAGCTGAACTTGGGACACTTTAATTAAGGTGCTTCCCAGTGATCTCTTGGGGGAAAAATAAGGCTAAAGACATAGGAAAGAAAACATTGTAAACATGAAGAATATGAACTGTAAAGTCTACAATAACTTCAGGGAAAAAAGATAATATATAGTGAAGGACTCTTTAGCAAACATACCAAAATTTACACATTCAGCCTAGTATTTGTTTCTTTCAAAGCAGTCAATTTTAGGTATCTACACTTGTTTCAACTATTTGTACGAGATTAAGATTTGTTGTTAGGCCAAAAAAGGAAGAATTTCACTCAAATTTGCCTTTAGAACTTAGAACAAATTATTTTTAATGTCTTTGCTATCAAAAGATAATAAATGTTTATCCTTTGAAAGTAGATTTGATTTTCACAAGTAGGCTAAAACCATTTAAACTTCATCTAGGGTAAAAAGTGGGTAAGCAATCAGAGCAAGGCTTCTATGCACAATTAAGCTGTGACTATAAGTTGATGATATTTTCTTGTTCATCATAAATTTCCTCTAACTTTTCTTAGTATCTAAAGATAAATTTCATTGAATATTTAAATCTTATGTTTACAATAATGGTATAAGTTTTTTATTTCTCCCTCAGCCATCTTTTAAAAATGAATTTTATCATTAAATAAAATATTGTAAATAAAAAAAAAACAGCTACAATGCTGATTCACTCCAAAAGATGTTGAGCAAGGCAGTGGTTGTAATCTAAATTTATTTTTCTTTAAGTTCAACTAAGATGTTTATATTTTTTTCTTAGAGGTTAATAGGAATTTTATGGTCTTCATCTGTATTATATTACCCTATCAGAGAAACAAGGATTTTCTTGATACTTCTATCTTTCTCAAACTTCCATATTTGTGTCTTTGGACATCTATTCTCTTTATCTGAACTGCTTTGTACAACTTCCCCTTTTATTTATTCGTGTCCACATCTTTTTCCTGTCAGTTCCAGGCTAGCACTACAATTCTTTGGAACTCCTCCAAATACATAGGTTACATTGGCATGAATAGGCAAATAAGGAGACATATCCTTCCTCTTGTTTTCTTTAGCAAGTCAAACTATCAGAGTGGACACATGTGCAGAATATTATAGATCCTACCCATATGTAACTACTGGATTCTAGGTTCTTTGATTCAATTTTTAAGTTATTTAGTTAAGAGTTCTTCACTCTTCACTGAGGTTAAGATCACTTGAGGGCTGGGATTGTGCTGAACACTTTGGCTGGGATTTTTTTGTTCTGAGGATAAATCAGAGAAACAGACACACACTGTCCTTGACCTTATCTTAACTTACAGCTTAAGAGGGAAGGCAGACATTTAAAAATGAGTTTTTAAAAAAGTGACAAGTTTTATAGTAGATGTGTAGGAGAACAGGGAATGCTTTTGTAATAATATTTTTTTTTTGGTAACAATCTTGTAAATCACCGAATATAGAATTAATTATATGTAAGCATTTTGTGATATATAGTAATATATATCTTATTAATTTGACAGAATGTTAAGCTAAATTTGGACACTGCACAGAATAGCTAAGTCAGTGCAAACTCACAGGTTAATTTAAAAGACTACTTTTATTTCAAATATACACAATATAAATATTTAAATCAACAATGTATAATCTTGAGAGTTGTCACTGGGAAATCTTTAATAGCTCAGTAATTTGTATTTAGCATAACAACCAATTTAAACCTTGAGGGGCAGTGTTTCAATACATTCTCCCTCAGAGTTGCACAATTAATAACTAATCTTTAAATATCAAGTTAAGAGGAGGTGTCTGAGTTAAGGTATATATTACAGATCCATTGTGTATGTCACCTTTCATGTTAAATTTCATGGGTCAATTACCTGTGGCTTAAAATTAAACTAGTTCATATTGTAAAAATAATCTAACAGGATGTCACAATACATAATATTTAACACTGTAGTTATTATTTTTTTGTATTTCAATAATGAATAAGAAAAAACAGAATAAACAAGAAATAATGGGATGAAAGGAGAGAGAAGAAATTCTAGCTTTTGTCAGAAAACATAACTTTATTCATCATAAAAATAGTACTTCTTAATTTGGCTACATAAGATATTTTTATTCTGTGAAAAGATGAATGAGATATCAAAGGTATTATAGTTTCCATAAAGAAATGTAAGTTCAGTATTGCAAAAATTGAAAACAGACTTTTAAAATGACGTACTAACACTTCTTAATATTCTTACTCTTTGTGAACACAGAACAAAATTCAATTATTTTCTGGACCCCCTGTTTCTTTAGATGCAGGTCTCTTTCTCATAGATAGAACTAGGAAATCTAGTACCTGATTTTATCTGAGGACAAATAATTTACTCGATAACCTTTTAAAAAGAAGAATGAAACCCTTATGTCTTTAAAAAGTCGATGGAAAAATGTCACTAACTGATTTTTTTCCTAAGCAATCTTCTTTTAAAGTCCTCCCTCAGGCTACTTTTAAGACAGTAAACTAAAGGATCAGAAAATAGTCACTTACCATACCAAATCACCAGTAGCCCAAGATGAGCATGTTCAGAATCTGAAGTGGAAAACAGACAATGATTCATAAAGATCAAGCCCAATTAAGCCTTCACTCTTGCCTCAAATTCATGGTTATTTAAGATAACAGCATCTTTTTCTAACTTGTTTTCTCCAGTCTGTATTTTCTGTTCTTTAAATGACCTCATATCTTAGTGAAATTGTAAAGTATTACTTTATTTTAGTGTGTTATGTATGCATGCATGTGTGTGTTTGTGTGTAAAACGTTTTAAACAGTCAAAAAATTCCTGGAGAAGGCAAGTAGCTGAGGGAGGTGAGGTTGTAACATTGGCTTTACTTACTGCTTTAGTTTAAGTTTATAAAAGGTTTCTGAAATTGGCTGGATATTTAAATGCCTTTTTACTTACCTTCTGTCTATAGATCTTCATAAACAATGAATGGCATAGTTCAGTGAGTGGTAAGAAATTTCCAGTCTTTAATCCCGCAACTGAGGAGAAACTCTGTGAGGTGGAAGAAGGAGATAAGGTAAGTTTTGTAACACTATTTGCATTTTATGCCAGGTTTCTTTGTTTCTCACCATTCTGAGTACCTAACCCCTAGTCCATCTTCAAATAGTCATGTCATGAAAATATGGTTTCCAGGGCATCTGGGGAAATATTCTTGGTACATAAAGGGTACTCAATAGTCACGTAATAATGATGAGCCTGTTCTTCTGCGTGTGGAGATTCTTTTCATATGATTTTCCTTGCTTGTTTTTCAATTGAAATAGTGTCTATATTTATTGTATGAACAGACTGCATATGAAGTGAGTGGTCATAGGTTTAAAAAGCAGAGAAATCCTTTATTTATATAAAACATTTTTCTTAAGTGACAAAGGAAACTAAAAAAAAATTTTAATACAGGAATTTAGTAACAATAGATTGCCAAGTCATTGCATTAACAATCATTGAATTAGCATTAATTAGTACCTAAAAAACTGAATTTTAAAGGATTTAAGTTGAATCACAAATTGTGTTGTTTCCTTCTAACTAATAATATAACAACAAAAGCTAACTTTTATGGTGATAATTTTTAATACTGATTTTTAAAAAATTTAGTACACAGTGTAACCCTATGTACTATTGCTAGACACTTTTACAAATGATGATAGAATAGCAGAAATAAAAGGGTCATTTACTCAAGATGATATTGCTAATAAATAATGAAATCAGCATTCAAATGCTGTGCTTCTGACTCCAGAACCTGTGACTGGCAGGGCTATTCTCTTTCTTTGTGAATATTATTAAAGAAAGAGGGTGATATTAAATAGGTCAGGGAGTGAAGAGATTAAAAGCCTTCAGAATTTTTATCTGAACACATATCTTAAAGAATATGGTCTAATTTGAAAAGATTTTTCTGGTCTTTAGTTGTCTAGCTCTTATCAATATTTTAATTTCTGTCATGTAAGATATAAAGAGGTTTATTTTGCTACATGAAAAGACTACTTATTGGAAGGTGAAAACTCAGCCAAACTCAAGGATAATGCTACTCTCAACACTGCTCAGTTCATGGCAGCAGTCCTGTCCTTTCTCCAGTCTTTCCTTATCTTCTTCCCAATCAACTAATCTCAAGATATTACACCTTGCAAACCTATTTGAAAACAGTGATAGGCCTGAAGGGCTCTTTAGGATTTAGGAAAGGCCCTGGATTCAGGTTGCAGTATTACCAGAAGAAGTAAGACCCATGCCTTGAGGGGTAAGAATGCAGAGTTTAGACAGAGGAGTCAACAGCTTGAGAAGTAGAAGCAAAATAGAATGGAGACACATGTCATCTGCTTTCAGATTTCACTTTCTATATACCAGAGTTCATCCATGCATAAATTCTTCAAGGGCTTCTCATTGACTCTGGGGGAAAAAATCTTTGCTTCTGGCTTCCATTTTTCCCTATCAGTGTAAGAGTTCCAAGCTTTATCATGCCCCGAACATTGCATTTTGGTCACTGCCTCTAGACGATGGCCATGGTGCTGTCCTTGGGACCAAGTTCAAGTCATCATCTGTGATAAGAGCACAAAAGATCCACAGCTGCATTCATCATTTAACCTTTTGGAGCTTCTATTCCTTTTTCTATAAAAGAGGGAGATAGGAAAAACTTGGGGGAATTTAACTAAGAAAACATGGGGGACTTCCCTGGTGGTCCAGTGGTTAAGACTCCATGCTTCCAATGCATGGGGTGCAGGTTCAATTCCTGGTCAGGAAACTAAGCTCCCACATACCTTGTGGTTGACTGCCCTCCCCACAAAAGAACTGAAAAAAATAAATAAATAAGAGGAAAACAAGTAATTGAAGTGTTTTAATAGCGCCAGGCATACAACGAAGCCTCCATTGTTACAGGTATCACACTTCTTTAAGCTTTTTCTAACCTTTCCAGGTAAAATTGCTCTCTTCTATGGCATCGTAGAACACCACATTTATGTATATTCTAAACCTGTGTTTTATTGCTTATTGGTTAATTTGTTTGAGACAATATGCTTCTTGTAGAAATTGACACTACATCTTACCTTTATGCCCATGGTATCTAACACACTATAAGTAATGAATAAATGAAATAATTTACTCCTTTATCAAGTTTTGTTTCCATATATTTCATATATCTCAGAAACCTAGTACTAAATTAACTACTGACTAAAGTAGTAATTCTAGAAATTCTGGATGCTTTAGAATTTCCTGGGAGGCTTATTAAAACACTGATCCTTGAGCCCCACCTATCCCAAAGTTTGTTTCAATAACTCTAGAGTGAGACCTGAGGACCTGCATTTCTGACAAATTCTTAGCTGAAGCTGATGTTGTTGGGATCAGGATAAAGAAATATGCTTTGAGAACCACTGAACAAGTATATTAAATCATAAGTTGTATCTCCTCTCAGGTGTTGTTAACATTTAACAGGAGGCAGGGGTTCTGACAAGTAAGGAAGTTAATGATTGGAAACTGGTGCTAAGACAGTCAGTCTGCATCTCTCTGGAATGGCACAAGACTGAACTAAGGTAGAGAAATACTGATGATCCCTGGCAAAGTATTCAGAAAACTCAGAACCCTTGGTCCCATGAGCCATTCCCAGAAATAAGAGAAAAGCTGGTTCTTCACATTCAATAAAGAAAAACAGCTTTTAATCAGAGACTCCTAGAGATCTCCCCAGCATTCTGTGCGTGCTAAATCACTTCAGTCATGTCCGACTCTTTGCAACCCTGTGGACTGTAGCCCACCAGGCTTAGTGGGATTTTCCTGGCAGGAATACTGGAACCGGTTGCCATTCCCTCCGTCAAGGGATCTTCCTAATCCAGGGATCAAACCTGCATCTCCCTCAGCTCCTGCATGCAGGTGGATCCTTGACCACTGAGCCACCGGGGAAGCCCCCAAGCCAGCATTACATGACCTCAAATATCCTAGTTGCTTGAATGGCTCTGACAGCCCTGAAGAGGTGGGAAAAGCAACAGCAGGCAAGCTGAGGGCAGAGCTGAGCCCCGGAAGGTTGGGACTCCTTCTCTCCAGAGGTGTCCCCGGCTCTCAGGAGGGAGACCGCAGAACTGTCCGCAGTTTGCATCAATGAAAGAAAAACCATTTCTTAATTCTTTAGCCCTGGGGCCTTGGACATCTCACTTTGCCCCTATCTTCTGGGATGAGTTTCCTCAGTAAAACAATCTGTGCCTGGAATTCCAGGTGAAATCTTGTCAGGCCATCTGAGGACTTGGCATCCTTGGTGAGATTTACCCTCTTTCTAAAATGGAGAGGGAAAGCGGATGATCACACCTGAAGTTCTAGAAATACCTATTATCCGTTTGCTCTCTGCTTATTGATGGTTACTGCTGCTGGTCGGAGAGAACTGTCTGTGCAAATGTAGATTAAAAACATTCATTAACATCCAACAACAAAGCTGCAAATCAGGTCACTGTGCTAATGGAGCTGCCTGAATACTTCTCTCTCAAGTTAGACTGTTCATGGTATAACTGTCCATAGCAAGCAACTGTGTGCTTAAGATCCAGTGCTCTTGTCATCATATTCTTTTCTGAAATAATCTACCAGCTTTTGTTTTGAAATAATTATTGCTGTTCTCACAAGTTTGCCGACAAATGTATAGTAACTTCTAACGTTGCTTAGTGAAGGTACAAATCTAGTAAATTACAGGGTCACAGTAAACCTAATATTCTGGAACTGACTCTTTAGATAATGAGCCAAGAGGTTTTAAGGATTTAATTTATGAGTAGAATGGAGCTAACAATGGGCTACATACAGCCTTTCAATGGTATTATAAAGAGAGGAGGAGGGGCAAGAACAAATGGAGGTTACAAAGCAAAGCACAGATGTGGGTGGGAACTGTTTTCTTTTCACTTCAGTGGCTCTTTTAGGCTATATCGCCTAATCCCACAAGCTGCTTTTAATACTACAGCATGACCTAGCAAATAATTGGTGGGGATAAAAGTAAATGTCCATTACAGTAAGTGTCTGTGACAGGTGTAAAACTGGTCTGATAACTATTTTCTCCAAATATGGATGAACGTAATATGGAAATGCATGGTCTGGCAGCAATGGATGAGTTCAGTCCTTCCTTAACTTCTTCTGTTCAACTTGTGGTCCCTTACTTTAAAAAAGGAACACTTTAAACACTACCAGGTAAAAGCACTACTGATGGTAGAAAATTTGAGTTAATGTATCAAATTGCTTTCTGGTTATTTAAAAATTATGTCTTTGGATATGCTAGTCCTGGATTAAAAATCAGCAATAATAGTCTTGGGATAATAATAATTTTTTAAAAACCTCTATACCTAATGGTTTGATTAATGTAAAAGCTGCGCTATGTAATGGAATCAATTAAGATATGAATTATTTTGTAAATATCAATACAAGAAGATTATTTATATAAGGAGCACCCTTATATAAAATCAATGTAACACAATGAAAACTCATTATAAGATACATCCCTGGTGGCTTCCCTGGTGGCTCAGGCGGTAAAGCGTCTTGCCTGTAGTGCAGGAGACCCGGGTTCAATCCTTGGGTTGGGAAGGTCTCCTGGAGAAGGAAATGGCAACCCACTCCAGTACTCCTGCCTGGAAAATTCCATGGACAGAGGAGCCTGGTAGGCTACAGTCCATGGGGTCACAAAGAGTTGGACAAGATACATAATAAAATGTTTAAATATTTATTAACTGCCTATTGTAGACCCAAAGAGTAAGAAATATTACAGCTTATACTAGAGGTAGCAGTAAATATTCATTGCAAAGATCATTATCAGGGTAGCTTTGAGGCTATCCTAAAACTGGATTTTGGAGTCAGATTTGGAATCAAATTTTGGTTCTACTATTGCTACATCTCATGTCCTATAAAACCAAGTCTGTGATAGCTTAACTACAGCAGTAGCATAGTGCCAGGAGTTTAGTAAGCTCTTAACTAGTAGCTATCATCAAGTTGGTTTAGTTTGGCAAAGGTTTAGGTAGGTTGTGATATTTGAGCTGGGTCTTAAAGAATACGGATTTTGAAAGGAAGGGATGAGCTGGGAGAACATTCTAGAAGGAAAATTACAAAAGCAAATGTGAGAAATAGAGGGCTACCTAGAGTAGAAAACGTATAAACACAAGTTGAACAGGTAACTTGGAGCCTGAAATGCTAGGCCTTGACAATCAGAGAGAGGAGACTAGCTTCAGGACTGTAGACAAAAGGGAGCATTTGCAAATACTGGGAAGGGAAAGTGATATAGTCAAATTATTTGAGGAAGATTAGCCTGGTAGTAAAAGGCAAGATCGCAATGTGGTGGCTCAGTGGTAAAGAATCTACCTGCCAATACAGGAGATGCAGGTTTGATCCCTGGGTTGGGAAGATCCCCTGGAAGAGGAAGTGTCTACCCACTCCAGTATACTTGCCTGGGAAATCCCATGGACAGAGGAGCATGGCAGGCTACAGCCCATGGAGTCGCAAAGAGTTGAACACAACTGAGCGACTAAGCACGCAGTAGGCCAAAAACCTGAGGAGAGAAGAGAATGGACTTAGGAGTGTTAGCAACAATGCAAGATGATAGCCTAAAATAATACAGGGCAGTGAAAACTGAAAGGAAGGATTAAAATACACTAGAATTGCTGAGAGTTAAGTTTGTTTTGACTTGCTCCGACTCCAATAGAACGTACTACCACTTAATGAACATTTAACATAATGTCTGTCACACAAAAAATGTTTCTCAAGTATCACCTATTTAGTCTTCAACACAACTCCATGAGGTAAATTATGGTGGTGGTTCAGTCGCTAAGTGGTATCCGTCTCCTTGCAAGCCCCTGGACAGTAGCCTGCTAAGCTCCTCCATTCATGGAATTTTCCAGGCAAGAATACTGGAGTGGGCTGCCATTTCTTTCTCCAGGAGATCTTCCCGACTGAGGGAATGAGCCCGTGTCCTGTTTGGGCAGGCAGATTCTTTCCCACTGAGCCGCCTGGGAAGCACATGACGTAAACCATCCCTATCTTAAAGGTAAGAAGGGACTTCTCTGATGGCCCAATGGTTAAGAATCCTCCTTGCAATGCAGGGGACACAGGTTCAATGCCTGGTTGGGAAACTAAGATCCCACACACAGCAGAGCAAGCAAGCCCACACACCACAACTAGAGTATCTGTGCGCCACAACAAAAGACCCCACATGCCACAGCTAAGACCCGACACAGCCTGAATTAATAAATATTCTTTTTAAAAAGATAGGAAAACGGAAGGTTAGAGAAGTCATATAACAATATAGTTCACTTCAGAATGAACTGAACCAAATTTCTCATGGTTTATAATAATGATGTGATTATGTGGTTGTTTGTTTCTCCCACACAATTAGGATTTTCAAATGGTCAGTCTCTTTACTTCACTATTGTATTGTTAGCAACCTGATAAGAATGCTACAGAATACAGTGTTTAGCAAATCTTTATAGTGTTTAGCAAATCATAAATGGATGAATAGATGGATACTTCAAAACTTACATAGTTAATAGGTGAGGAACCAGAATTCAGATCTGGGTTGTTTTGTCCCAGAGCTATATATTAACTACCATTACTCTATTTCTGTGCCTGAAAGATAAAATATATGAGAAAAGGAGAAGCATGATCTAAAGAACATAACTACAAAACTGCCCTTATTTATAGCAGCTTTCTCCAGGAACATATTTTCCATATGGCAGAGTTACTTGTCTTGAAGCCAATTATTCCATATCCCTTTGAGAGGCCAGGATGCCTATGATAAGCCATATTTGGCTAAGGCTGATGATAGAACACTGAGCAGAAGGATCCCAGTGAAAGCTGTGTCATACAGACCTTTTTAAACATAGAGCATGTATTTTATAAGCTGTGGTATCTACAGATCATGCTGGCAATTTTCAGATTCTTGCAGTTTGCCTTTAATGTTTTTCAACAGCACTCTTCCAAAATAACTTGGAGAAGGTGAGAACCTATGGCCTAAAACAATGTCTAAATATAAGTAATCAATGTGGTTAACTGAATGCTCAAAATATGAACTATATGTGTATATATATATGTATTTATTATATATAAATGTATATATATATGAATTTATTAGGAATGGATAGTAATACATGTATTTTATTGTATATAATCGTCATTCCCTCAAAAGTTAAACAGTAATATATACAAGTGTATGATGCTTATAGTGAAAGAATATTTGCTTGTAGTCTGTATTGTGAGAATATTATCACTTAGACCAGATTATGCTTCTAAAATATTCCTTTGACCCAAGATCATCTTAGTGTGGCAATAAATGTAAAAATAATTTACTTAGCTTCTATTTTAATTTGCAGACTTGTAAGTTTGGGATGACTTCTTTTTTTTTTATTTTTTGGCCACAATACACTGGATCTTAGTTCTTCAACCAGAGATCAAACCTGTGCCCTTTGAAGTGGAAGAATAGAATCTTGGCCACTGGACCACCAAGGAATTTCCAGTTTGGGACTTCTTAACTAAATATAATCAAAGACAGGGAATATTAATCTGAGATCCATGCCTCCCCAAGGGAAGATACCATTGTTGAATGGGTTTAGTTTAATTTGGGCAATTAAAAAAAAAATAGAACAATTTTCTCTTCACTTTCTTTCAGGGAACTATCATTCCTACCCAAAAGAAAACACACTGGCCTAAGAGGTACCATGATTTGTGGAGCTTATATAGCTCCACATAGTGACCAGACTGATACACAAAAGAACACTGGGATAATCTATGTGTTTAAAGTGTTTGCAACTGATTTGATCGGGGTAGGAAAAAGGACACATGAAGTAGTAATGGAAGAGGTAGTGATTTTTAGAATAGATGGATTCTATAGGAGCTCATGTGGGATCTGAACAAAGATCTACGGGAGTGAGTGGTTGGGGAGAGCATCTAACTGAGGCAGAGTAGGAGAGAACAGGAGGAATAAATCAGTTTAGGAAAAGGTGTGAGTAAAGACACATGAATGAAGACAAGAAATCTAGACTGAGTGTGAAATTTCTTGATTACTTTTGTTTGAATTAATATAATTAAAGCAGAGCCTTAATAGTAAGAAACTGACTTCTTTACCTATTTAGGGATTGAAAGGATCACTCTCGTAAAGTAATTAGCCTCCAACTAATAAAAATAAATGGGAAAAAAATAAAATAAAATGAGGGGGAAAATATATATATATATAAAAAGAAAGGATCTCTCTGCATCCAGTTGGGAAATGAGAGGTTGTAATATACTGACCCTTCTTTATACCAGCCCCTTCTGCCTCTATGTCTTTTTTCCCCTCTGAACAAGAGGACTGAGGACATGTTTATAATGTTTTCTCTTCAACAGCAAAACACAGTTCTTACTCACCCTTTAGTAGGTTCTTCATGAGAGTGCAGAGCCCATAAAATCAACAAAGATCCAAGAAGACACTCAGTGTTTTAGATCTTGATTTTCCCTGGAACATTTGGCAACCCAGTCACCAAAACAGTAAAATGTAGTGGTGAAGAGCAAAGATTCTACAGCCAGCTGGGCTCTGTTTAAAACATACTGCAGCCACTTTCAGCTACTGAGCTTGGGCAAATCTCAACCTTCCTTTTTGCTTCAGTTTCCTCATCTGTAAAATAGGGAATTTACCTGTCTCATAAAACTACTGAAAATTAAATGAGTTAATATGTGTAAAGCAATTAGAACATTACCTGATATAAGGTAAACACTCCAGTGATAGCAACTATTAAAATATAATATTTCTATTCTAGGAAATCATGCATGTGCTTTGTATATAGCACTCATCATTCCAAAAAGTAGGCAGCAGGTATAATTCTAATACACAGTAGTTGAGTCTGTAAAATGTGCTGGACTTTGAGCTGATGAAGACACAGTTTATGAGGAACTCCAGTCTATTTTATATGGTTACTACCATTGGATTTATGAATATATTTAGCCCACTAATTGAATTCACTTTGACTTGCAGGAAGATGTTGACAAAGCAGTGAAGGCTGCAAGACAAGCTTTTCAGATCGGCTCCCCATGGCGTACTATGGATGCTTCAGAGAGAGGACGGCTGATAAACAAGTTGGCTGACTTAATTGAAAGAGATCGTCTGCTTCTGGCGGTGGGTATTAACTGAACTGGGTAGAATTCAAAATCTCTAGAAAGCATTCATGGTTTGGATTGGTAAGTTGTTTTGTTGTTAGTGGTCACTATATACTCTTTAAACAACAATAACAATAATATACTTTCTACAAACAAAGCAAAAACTTCTACCAGCTCTTGTATATGAACCATACCACTGAGCTTATTCTCAGACGGTAAGTACCCTGCACTCGGGTTCTAGATGATGTTAATGTCCACTCTCAAAATAGATTTTGCAGTCTAAACTTTGGCAGATTCTGAGTTAAAACAAATTAAACAAATATCTTTCCTAACTGTAGAATTTCTGAGTCTTTAACAAGGTCATCTGCAGCATGAAGATCCTAGGATTATAGACTGGCTTTCTTGAAATTACTTGACTACTGAACTTTGAGTGAAAAAAATCTCATGGAATTTGTTAAAGGTGCCCAGAATATTTCTTTAAAATTACTCTTATTTCTCCAGTCTTAGCCCACCAAAACATTTAATAAGTGGACACTTTTTCCCTTCCTGAAATGAACTGATACACATTCACAATGGTCTTGATTAAATTATATTCTTTTTGCAGGTGAGAGAGTAATAAAGAAAAATCCATTTATGTGTTTATAAAAATGTCATTTTTATGTATACACCTTTAAAAAAAATTTCAGCGGTTATATGGATCAGCACATAAAATGGGTGGAGGGGGTGTTTCCTTGTTTTCTCCTTGAGAGCCAATTTAACACAAAGCAATAGCAACAGAAGATTTCAGAGTAAGCTTTTACTACCTTTAAACCTTAACTTGCAGTAACAGGAAGGCTTTCTTTTCTAAATCAACATTGTCAGTTATAGTTAATCAAAGTGTTATTTATTATCCAATCAAAGATTCAGCATAAAATATGCAAAAGTATGGAGTTAGAAGTTATACACAATATAACACTAACTGAAATGTCCTACAGGAAGAAAGCAGAATATTTAAACTTGGCTTCCTTAATTTATTTAATCTGTGAATTACAGAGACAGAATATTGTACAATAGATAAGGGACTGATTTAAGAGTTTATCACCTGTACATTCTAGCATCAGCAGAACATCAGGCCCCAAAGTCTTAAAAGTTCTGCTTAAGAAAAGGAGGAAAAGAAGAGATAGTCATCCTAAAACCATTAGGGCACTAGACTAGAAAATGTTGAACTTTACAGCCTAACCATTCAAATAATTATGGTATTCGTGACAAAACTCAGAGTTTCACAATTCAAAGTTTTGTTGAAGAAAACTCATGGATTAAAAAAAAATCTTGAGGTCACTTAACTTTGTGTGAATCGTATGAGAATATCCACATGGAATGTAAAAATTTAAAAATGATTATTGAGGCATTATTAATGGTCACTGACAGTAAATAGATACCCACTGTTGTATCATGCAACAAGTAAAATCTTGTTGGAACCCTGATCTGACTACAGACTAAGCACCACTCTCACAAGCTGTGCGGATATCAAATTGTGACCAATTCCTGGAAAGTTGGTTTACTAGGGGCGCTCAGAATGAGACAGAAGGGCACTAAAGTTTAGAAACCAGAATCTCACTACCTTTTCTACCCAGATCTTATGTCCTTAAGCAAGTCATTCTGTCTTTTTTAATCTCCTTTTTAAAAAAAAGGAAGTTACACAAGATCGCTCACAGGATTTCTTCCAGTATTTTCAAAATTCCCTAGCACATGACTATTCAAAATATTCAGTTCATTTCAGTCTTTCAGTTGTGTCCAACTCTTTGCAACGCCATGGACTGTAGCACACCAGGCTCCCCTGTCCATCACCAACTTCCAGAGCTTGCTCAAACTCATGTCCGTCGAGTCAGTGATGCCATCCAACCATCTCATCCTATGTCGTCCCCTTCTCCTCCTGCCCTCAATCTTTCCCAGTATCAGGGTCTTTTCCAATGAGTCAGTTCTTCACATCAGGTGGCCAAAGTATTGGAGTTTCAGCTTCAGCATCAGTCTTTCCAATGAATATTCAGGACTGATTTCTTTTAAGATTGACTGGTTTGATCTCCTCTTAGTCCAAGGGACTCTCAAGAGTCTTCTCCAACACCACAGTTCAAAAACATCAATTCTTTGGCACTCAGCTTTCTTTATAGTCCAACTCTCACATCCATACATGACTACTGGAAAAACCATAGCTTTGACTACAGACCTTTGTCGGCAAAGTAATGTCTCTACTTTTTAAAATGTCAAGGTTGGTCATAGCTTTTCTTCCAAGGGGCAAGCATCTTTTAATTTCATGGCTGATGATTTCAGATGATCCAAATCATCTGAATGATTTGGAGCCCAAGAAAATAGAGTCTGTCACTGTTTCCAGTTTCCCATATGTTTGCCATGAAGTGATGAAATATTGACTATCTTTTTAATCTAAAATTTCTATGGAACTTTAGACTTGGGATGATCTCTTTTTCAGACAATGGAGGCAATGAATGGTGGAAAAATATTTTCCAATGCATATCTGATGGATTTAGGAGGCTGCATAAAAACATTACGCTACTGTGCAGGCTGGGCTGACAAGATCCAGGGCCGTACGATACCCATGGGTAAGTAACTTTAGGAAACCACCCAGAGTGTGGGTAGGGGTGAGGAGATTACTGTAGAGATGAATAATTCCAAACTCTCCCTTTTAAAGATGTCAACCAAGTAGGGGAAAATTATTTTCTTCTTGACTTTGAGACACTGCAGTTCTGAACCTGGAAGTTCTGCTAAGATTCATCATATGGATGTTAAAATTGTTTCAGCACAATCATCCAGAAGATGACACTACAGATATTTTAGAAAATATTAGAGTAAGAACATCTGCATGCCCACAATTACTGATTTAAGCAGTTGTCTCTCTAAGGAAACTTTTCAAAGCTGGCCTCTGAAATTATTTATTTGGGTTTTACTCCAACGGTGACATTTATATTCTTCCTATAATGTAATTATTTAAGCCTCTTTGTATGTTCCAGTATGAGTCAACTCTGGTCATCTGTGTGCCTGGTCTAACTCAGTATAGTTAGAGCAGGCTAATTAAACAAACTAATTCACATTGATTTGTTTCAAATAGTTTCAAAGAAAGATGAGCCTATGTTTATAGCTTAAGAATTAGTGTGAGTGAATAAGTTTGCTTTTTTAGTATTTTAATATAGTAAGCACATAATGGGATAAGAATATGAAAAACATCAATTTGGAAAACACCAGGAGCTGAATTTAATTCATACAAACTTACTATGAAAACAAAATATCCTCCAGGACTGGCCCTGATGTGCATTTCCATCTAATTGGAGCAGCCCTCAGCTTAGAAGTGAGCACCAGAAAGTGGAAAGGGAGAAGAAAGACCATGGTGGGACCAAGAACTGTGGATATTTTACAAACTTTTGTTTTACTCTTTGATAAAACGGGAGAAGCCATATAGAATACAAATACATCTTGACAAGGGGCCTTCTTGCTATGACAGCCAGGAAACTTTTGTGGGAACGAGAACAGAACAAATCACAAAGCATAGTGCAAACTCAGGATGAGCACATCAAGGTCACGTGTGGTCATTCATTGAGGCATATGAATCAATCAGATACAGAATGAAAAGAAATATCTTCTACTTCTGGCATCTTTTTCATAGAGTAAGAGAATTTGCTTTTATCATTTGGTAGGCAAAAAAAAGAGGACTTTTTAGAACAAGTCAGTGGGAAAAACTTGCCACTCATAGAAAGCTATTTTTTAATTCTACTATGTTTTAATTTTACTATTTTTTAAATTATATTAGGCACTTAAAAATTACTGGTAGAACTTAAGAGTCATCATAAACAGAGCTCTGTTTCTTTCCTATTTACACACCTTTTATTTCCTTTATCATGAAAGAAAGGAAATTTTGAGGATAAGTATGAATTAGAAAGTAGTCCTCTGGGAGGATCAGAGAAAGAATAAACATTATTCAGATCTTTTCCAATTGTGCACCTAACTCAGTTTTATGGTTCCTCTTATTTCAAATTACTATTTGAGGGCTCACCCTATTTGAGGGTTTTCATTTTGTAAATAATGAGAAATATAAACTCTTTTTAATTATTGTCTATATCTTCCTCTCATATCAGCCCCAAACCACCATTCTGTGACTGTCAACCACATTTGTCCATAAATGTTTGTGCATTTTATTTTCCAGATGGAAACTTTTTTACATATACAAGAAGTGAGCCTGTTGGTGTGTGTGGCCAAATCATTCCTGTAAGTTGTTCTCTTACATAACTTTCAGTCTCAAAAGGAATGAGTTCTAATTCTATTTCATTTGGTAATGACGTTTTCCCAGGCACAAATGAATGCTTAGATATTTGCTAAATGTGGAGCAAATATAGTCATTGTTGAACTCAGGTCTCTCTGTGACTATATCCTTTGAATACGAACTAGGTAATCTAAATCCTATCTATACTCTGGTATATCTCTTGAGTGTGTTTCCATAGTACAGCATCACCAAATCTTAACCTTTTCCTCTAAAGTTTGTTTTAAAAAGCTGTATTGTAAACTCTGTTTAAGACCTATGATTAACATGTACATAGCAAAGCATACATTGTGCAAGACATCAGGCATTTCAATGAAGTATAGTATGGAAAACTGCTCTCCAACACTTCACATATCTGCACTGGGACTTCTCAGCATGGAGAACAGTAGCAACCAGGGTGTTCAAATTCTTGAATAAAATTTCTTAACTAAATGAAAGAAACCATGCCAGAGGCATTTGAAGCACCGTATGGAATATATTTTACCTTTAGATAAAAGGCTTTGATACTCCATATTCTTCTTTGAGAAAGTACCATGTTTAAGCAGAATCATGAAGATTTCCTTTTAAGTCCAACAAATAGGAGACTACCAGTGATTTTACTTTAAATGACATATTCAAAAAGGCCAAAAAAAAAAAAAAAGGTGGTAAAATGCCTTGATGCTCTTAGATGAGGAAGTGGCAATGACTATCTTTTGCTCCAATGAGACTAAAATATACATGTACCAACGTTTTAAATGAAATTGCTTGTTAGTGCAAAACTCCCAATAAATCCATAAAATTACACAATCTTGAATAGTATTTGCTAATATTCACTGTTTGTCTGTGGTGAACCAATCATTATGTTAAACATTTGACCACTTTCTCTATGAATCTTCAAGACAGCATTCTGAAGTAAAGAGAATTATTGTCAGCATGTGTAGATGATGAAATCATACACAGAGTGCATAAAACTTGTCTGAATTCATATGGCTGCTCAGTGACTGAGCTGAGATTTGAACCAAGCTGTCAGTCTCCAGACTTTAGATTTTTGCCTTTAGCAAGCTATTTTCAGTGGAAGTAAATATTACTAAATATTATTATTGGGTAAATAGTTATAAAGACCTATTAAGGAGTGAGGAATGGTTACACTTTTTAAACACAGATATTTATATTTAATATAATAGTAAGACTTGTTTTCTAAACCATGCAGTGATTTTTTTTCCTGGTAGAAAACAAACTCAAAATAACAGCTCTTGATAAAATTTTATGACTTTCTCCTACTCTCTTCCTGTATCTAGTTTATTTGGAGTTTGTTTTTGTTGTTGTTGTTGTTTTTAGCATTTATGAGTTGCTTTGAGCAATGAACTTAATTAGGATATACCAGGTGGTTAAACAAAACTACCACAATTCTTATTTAACATCTACGGGGAGCATAAAATGTAGAAGTTAGATTAGCAAATGTGGCTTTCAGCAATACAAAGAATCTATTGTTATATATTGCTTTCTAGTGGAATTTCCCGTTGCTCATGTTCCTCTGGAAGATAGGGCCTGCCCTTAGCTGCGGAAACACAGTGGTTGTCAAACCAGCAGAGCAAACCCCTCTGACTGCTCTTCACATGGGATCTTTAATAAAAGAGGTATGTTTGCTAAATCAAAATGTGTGCAAGATCTCAGGAATCCTAACTGACAGTAGGAAGACCTCATCTGGTGCTACTATAAACTACATTATCTGCCAACAGCGCCTATCCAGTGGGGACACACTACACGTGGCTATCGGCAAGGATTTCTGGCAGTCAACCCAAATGAACCTCTGCCCAAAGGGAGACAGGAAGTCAGACTCAAAAGCTTCATGTCAAACTGTCACCTATGAGCTCTTTTTTGTTTCTTTTGCCCAACATTCACAAATGCAAATTCATGTTGAAATTGGTATGATTTTCTTCCAAATGTTGAAATGTAAGTTGGTTTATAACTGCTATTAATGACTTGGAAATTCTGCATATTTGTTTAAACTAGTCTATCTGAAGGTTGGAGTCCTCTGAGCTTGCTTGTAGCATTGAGCTATATTATTTCTAAACAATTCACTGTGAGGGAATAAGTTTATATTCTCTTTTCTATTAAAGTTTCTTTTGCATTTACTTTCTTGCTCAAAAGCTGACAAAAGAGAACATAAAATTTATTTTCATTGACTATCCAGATTGTTTTAATATATTTTTTCTTGTAAACAAGTTCTTGTCCTTGTCCCTTCATATCTTACCAATATTTTAAAAATAAGCATTAGTTCTGAGAAATTTAAAATTTAGAAAATCTGTAACCATATCTTAAAAATATTCTTCACTTCAAATTAAAAGTAGGCAAAAGAAATGTCAAAGTGAGACCTTTTGATGCAAATAACATGAAATTTTAATGTGCTATTTCATTTGCCACATTTTATACTTGATAATTCTATACTGGGATTGGAATCAATTTGTGATGCTTGATCATGAATGCAGTGACCATTTTTAACCTAACATTTTTTTCTGATTAAATAATGTGGATAGGAATTTGCAAACCAATTAGTATGCCCTGACAATGAACAGGTAGAAGCTAAAAATATTAACATCCCTTGGCTTCTTATTTTTGCTGAATGGATAATAAAAGACATTGTTTTCCTTCCATGTGAGTAATTTACCAAACACTTTTACACATACTATCTTGAGTTAGTATTATGAAATTTGAGACAGCCATCATTGGAGTAAAGAACCATGAAAGTCAAATGTGGACTTTAATGCAACCCTTGAGGTTAAGTGAGCTAAGCAGTGAAATAATAATAATAAAAAATGATAAAACCACTTAGATAAATCTTTCCTTGTAGAGTAACTCCTACGATTAGCATCAAGAGGGAGCTTTGGCTCCATACTCTCCTTTTTTTTTCTGTAGAATTAAATGATCAACTCTGTTCTAACTATTTTACTTGTCTTTTAGGCTGGGTTTCCTCCTGGAGTAGTGAATATTGTCCCTGGTTATGGGCCTACTGCAGGGGCAGCCATTTCTTCTCACATGGATGTAGACAAAGTGGCCTTCACAGGATCGACAGAGGTAAACATCGTTTACTCAGGCCAGTAGTGAAGCAGTCAGAAGCGTGTTTTATGTTACTGCCTTTAAGCCGACGTTTCCTTAAAACAAAAGTTCTTTTAATGATTTGTTCCTTATTCTAGCCTTCAAACGTGTTTATAGAACATAAGCAGATGTCATTGAGATGAAACGGAATACCTATTACCAGTGTGGGAGGATTGGAGTAAACTGTTTTTAGTATGTTATTACTTTGTGTGACGAAAAATATGACTGATCAGAACTTGTCATATGATTTGTAAGGTTTATGATAGAAGATATAAATTAGGCCACAGTGATGTGTATGAATGAATTGTAACTTTAACCTGTAGATTAGGAAGATCAAAGAGCAGAGCCTCACCCTTAGCTCCTTATTTGGCGCTCTCCCCGTGAACATTCCGAAAGAAGCCAGCAGCTTAGCTTCCTGGGTCCTAACTTCTGCTTCACTGGCTCCAGCTTGGCTATCCAGAAGGTGAAAGAACAGGATCCCAGCCATAGGCACTTCAGAGGAGAGGAGAGCTGGTAAATGCTCTCTAAATGCTCTGGGTGTTGAAAATGTTTACTTTTTAAAACTTTGTGGAGAGAGAAACAGGAAGAACATTCCAGATAGTAAGGGAAAGCTAATTTGATTATTTTATACTCCTGATTAGCCACTCCAATATATAAAAAAAAAGCTTAAACAGAGAACTAAAGTAATAGAAAATAAAATTTTATTTTTCTTGATCCTTTTTAAGCTAGATAATTATATACTTTTTCTTGTTGTTTTATAGACATAGTGTAGAAAAAGTTGACATTCTACAAATTCCTAATTGAGATAGGAGAAAACAAATTCTTCATTCAGGAGTCTGGGGATAAAGCAATTGAGAATGTTTGAGATAGAGCAATAAATTGAAAAATGATGAAATCAAGGTTGAAATCATAGCAGAGGAAGTAAAGCATGAAATTTCAAATTCCTCAGCCTAGTATTGTAGGCTGTCCTCATCAGGGCCCATGCACTGCTTATGGTCCAGGTCTGGCCCACACACCTCTCTAGCTCACAGAGTCAGAGGCTACTATTCCCAGATGCCATCTCCACAGCACTGCCTGTTTGTCTTAGCTCATCCCTGGGACTCAATAGCACTTTAGGGGCACTTTATCTCCCCTCTCCCCCAAAACTTTGATATTAGAAGACTAAGAAACATCTGTGTTCAAATGCTAAGTCTACCCCTCCTAGCAGTGTGTCTTCCAAAAGTTAAGTATCCTTGCTAAAGTTGAGTTTCTTTATATGTAAAATGGGAATGATAATATCTACCTTATTGAATTGTACCAAATAAAACTGAATAAACTAATGAATAGCAAAGCATTTAGCATCCTACCAAGTATCCTCTAAATGGCACGGTTACCATGTGTCCTACAGTCATCTCCATTCTCTTGTTCCTTCCCTTACTCTTTAATTTTTCACACTAGTTCAGGTGTGAGGGAAGAGGTCCCCTCTCCACATAATATTTCTTCATCACTGCCCCATCATTTTCTGATTGTTCCCTGTATTTTTTCCTTCCCATAAGTTTTTGTTCATACATGGCCACACCACAGGCCACCTGGACTTCCTCTGTAGTCCCAGGAGCATCCTAAATTTAAAAGCTTTCCATCTGTGCTCCCACTGTCCGTGATATATAATTGTGACAGCACTTGCTCCTTGCTTTGTTATGTATCTCTCTCCACTTTGCTGACTCTCCTCAAAGACTATCTTATCCATTCTTATCTCTAGAAACCAGTATAGTAACTACTTCTGATTGAGTATTAAAGAATTAAGTGTGACTTCCCACTCCAGTACTCTTGCCTGGAAAATCCCATGGACGGAGGAGCCTGGTAGGCTGCAGTCCATAGGGTCGCTAAGAGTCGGACATGACTGAGCGACTTCACTTTCACTTTTCACTTTCATGCATTGGAGAAGGAAATGGCAACCCACTTCAGTGTTCTTGCCTGGAGAATCCCAGGGACGGGGGAGCCTGGTGGGCTGCCGTCTATGGGGTCGCACAGAGTTGGACACGACTGAAGTGACTTAGCAGTAGCAAGATGACTTTAGAAGTCACACAGAAAAATCAGTCTTTCTGGGTCATCCTCTTTTAGCTTCACATTTGTGGCTTACCAGGTAGGAGTGAACTTGCCAAATGCCATGAAAGAGGCAAACCATGGATTTTATATTTTTGCAGTCCATTATAGCAGCTATGCTCATTATAAAAATGTTTCTGGCAAGATTAGAATTTTAATGTCCCGTTAGATTTGTTTAAAACAGCAATCAAACCACATTGTATGAGATGTGCTAAGTTAGAACATTTTTATGAGCATTCGCTACTTCTGCCCCACAAAAGCAATGCCACAATATCATGGAACATACCTTTTACTATAGTCTTAATAGTGTTTCCCTTCTTTTCATTGCAGTGATTACCTTTTCTTTGAGAAAAAAAATTATAAAGTTTTACTTTTTTTCCAAATGAGGAAACAAAAGTATGGGGCAAAGACTGATTCTTCCTTATTTTGACTTTACCTAGACCTTTGGCTGCAGTCTATGGGGTCGCAAAGAGTCAGACACGACTGAGCGACTGAACTGAACTGAACTGAACTTGGGAAAACTCAAGCAAACCTTTTATCTGCAAATTACATAAACAAAAGTATAACCTTTCTTTCTCACTCATACTTCTAACCATTCTTCATGCTAGTTTTTTTGACACCTGTAGCTTTTAGAAAAATACCTCTGATTTCACTCCCTTCCCCAAGATAAAAACGATCTACTTTAATAAAGTATCTCCAGCAAATCTTCTTAAGCCAATTAAAAAAAAAAACAGAAAATAAAAAACTGCAGAAAGAATTTGGAGAATTCAAAGGAAAAAAGACAAAGAATATTTTTTAGGAAATACAAAATTCTTAATCACCTCAAATGAAAATTCAGTCTTTGAAACTGGTCATGAGAAGTATTAATATGTTGTGGAAGCAAAATAGGATGTAATAGAAATTTCAAACAGGGTTTCCCCATTGCCAGTCTACTTTTAGTTTATTTTTATTATTTTTATTAACTTACATTTATAGGTTTAATTTTGTACATGTAAATTTTACATAAGATGAAAATATTAGCAGATTAATGAATGCTTTACTCTGTAATGCACAGAGGAGTCAGTTTAGTAGTCACTTGAAATTTAAACACACACTCAGCAATGTCTACCTATCATTTATTTAGTCGGGATAGAAACTTGTTATTAAAATTGATGCATTGAAAAAGAAAAGTAATCCAGAGAATAAAAGAAGCAAGATAAAATGAATCATCTTGTAAAAAAGAAAAGCAAATATCATTTTAGTGTACTAAGACTTCAATAAGAAATAATAAAGAGGAAATAGTTGTAAAACAGACCAGGTTTCAGAAACAAAAAAAACAAACAACTACAGAAAATAATCTTGATGGGAAGTGATCTGCAGAGGAAAAAAAAAAGAAAACTCTTTCCCTGAAGATAGGCCACTAGCATTAAAGAAGAAATAAGTACAAGATTCCAGCTAACTAAAGTAGTAGCACAGAGCACAGATCCAATTTCTTTCTCCAAGTCCCAATATTCAAGATATGGAGGACAGAGGGAGAAAGAGGGAGTGAGGGAGAACAGTTACTGCCACCAGGGAAGTGACATCTGTTTGGGGAAACTGATGTGTATACAAATGATGCAATCCACGGGAAACTCTGAAAGAGTTCTTTTGAGGGAATTTACTGGGGATCAGAGAAAGAAAGGGTCACGTTCACCTTGAGTCATCATAGAATGCTAAAGAGGAGCTAAGATACAAGCTGGACCCTAAGGAACGATAGGATTGGAGGCTACCATGTACAGTAAGATCGTGTACATCAAATCAGTCATTACATTCAATATATCTGCTTTCATGATATATCATATGTTTATGCTTGGATGGAAAAGCCTTTGGTAGCGGAAGCTGCCAAATCTGAAAAAATGCCATTTCTCCCATTTCTCCCACAAACGTCATATAAATTTAAATTGCTAAATAAACTTGCCTTGATGGGAGCAGATTAAGCCTCCTCCTTTGTAATGAATGCTCCATTTCAGGTTGGCAAACTGATCAAAGAAGCTGCTGGGAAAAGCAATCTGAAAAGGGTGTCGCTGGAACTCGGTGGAAAGAGCCCTTGCATTGTGTTTGCTGACGCCGACCGTGAGTAAAAGCCACTCTGCTCACTTACCCTTCCTCCTTTTTGGCCAGGCAGTACCATACAGGAAAGGGTTTGCTTCTAACGTCAAAGTGTAAGGTATTAACCAGAGTTCAAAATCACTCTTAAAAATCTGTTAAACTGTCCTAAAGTTATAAAGCCTAGATAAATCCAACACAGACACGATTTGTTCCTAACTTGGAATAGATTGCTGTTTTCTTGGGCTTCCCTCAGAGCTCAGTTGCTGTTTTCTCAGCTGAACTCTAGAGAAACTGTTAAGCATTTAGGAGTCATAAAGTATATTCTTAATTTCATACCTTAAATATTAGCATCACCTTAAGTGTGGTAAGATACCCTCAGATGTGTTGCACTAGACCAGCTGGAGAAACGGCAAGCTGTGCATTTGTCATCTCCCTTCTGTCTGGATCACACGTTCATTGAATGAAACGGCCAGAGGAAAGGACACCAACTATTTAAATAATTTCTTTCATTTTTTTTCTAGCAGGTGTAATTTACATATATTAAATCTCTAATTATGATGGGACTCCATTATATCCTAAGTCCATCCTGATCATATTATCAAGTAGGATGCCACAATTATTTCCGAACTGGGAGTTAGCAGAAAACGATCAAACATTCCTCTGTATCTTTAAGAGCTGCATTATTGGTTTGAGACAATAAACTTTTTATTTTTTTAGAGCATGCTACCTCATTATACATTCTACAGACATGACCTGATTTCTCATTTTACCAAACCTTCATGTAAAATGCTTTCACTACAACTTAAGCACATGTGGTTAGTTCACAAAATAAAGATGCTACGCTTAGTCGCTCAGTTGTAGCCTGCCAGACTCCTCAGTCCATCAGAGTTCTCCAGGCAAGAATACTGGAGTGGGTTGCCATGCCCTCCTCCAGAGGATCTTCCTAAGTCAGGGATCAAACCCAGGTCTCCTGCAATGCAGGCAGACTCTACCATCTGAACCACCAGGAAAGCCCAAAATAAAGATAACAATATCCAGTTGCTATAATGTTAAAGCGTCTGCATTCATAAAATTAAGATGCAAAGAAAACTTTCTTCTGGCTATTTAGGATCTACTAATGAAACAAACTACTTCCTCTTTTTAAGACCCATGTAACCATTTCAAATAAACAGATAAGAATTTATAGGCATATGTGAAATAACATGGCACACTTTAGATAAATCTGGAAAAATTTTCATAGAATAGGGTTGTAAGGTGGGTGAGCAATTCTGAATATTAGTTGTTTGGGGTTTTGAGGGGTTATGATTTCTCTTAGAATTACCACTTTTTCTATTGATCAGAGTATATAAGAATGTTTTTACATTCTTACTTAACATAGTGGATATCTTATATTTTCTTTGTCATTAGTTAAAACCTGAAACCTGAAAGAAATATTCAGTCATTTAATTATAAATGGAAATACTTATAAAAGTCACTTGAAGTAAGATTTAGTCATAGGATACTTTCCAAATTTTGGAATTATTCATATTAAAGTTGTGTTGATAACCATTATATTTCAGAATTTACTATTTTACTATCATTTTAGTAGCAAATAAAGGATCAGAAAGGCTCATTTGTCACCTGACTGGTAAGAGGTAGAATATATTGAATCTATGTTTGATTACATGACTCGTGATTTTTTAATACCACCATATCACCTCTAAGAAAGATATATAAAAAATATATTATTTTTAGAAAATGTCTTTTAACATGAATGTCTTCTCTGCAGTGGACAATGCTGTCGAATTTGCACACCAAGGAGTATTCTATCACCAGGGCCAATGTTGTATAGCTGCATCCCGTCTCTTTGTAGAAGAATCAATTTACGATGAGTTTGTTCGAAGGAGTGTTGAGCGAGCGAAAAAGTATGTTCTTGGAAATCCTCTGACCCCAGGAGTCAGTCAAGGCCCTCAGGTGAGTGTAAAGTAGATGGAATAACGTTCACAGGGCGTAAGAGTAAAGTATCTTCTCTAGGCCTGGTTTTAATTGAATATCATTATTTCCCATCCACATATATTTCTTGGTGATGATACTGAATCGGTTTAGTGATTAAAAAAATAATGAATTAAACCCCCAATGGTAAAGAAAGTATCTTGATTTTGTGTTGCTGTTTTCACATCCAGAAACAGTGAAAGAGATGTTGGAAATTAAAGACGTGAGAAAAAGTAACAAATGCTATAAATTTGTTTTTCTCAATCTGCACACCTCTGAAGTCCTATATACAGTTCCTATCCACTTGGAAGTTCTTATACCATCCTATCATTTATTTCGTCCTCAGCATCAATCCTTTTTTTTCAGCTTCCATCCCACAGATATAGGCAGCTGGCATGACTAAATTCTTTCCAAATTCTTTAGTCACTCTGACCTTCTAAAAATAGTATGAGTATCCTAAAATATCCTGAGTTCCTGACTTTGTACCAAACTTCCCATTTTAGTTGTTAAAGCCCAGTTATTCCGAAGGGTCCCCATTTTCTTCTGTCGGCTTAGAACCACTGTCAGTGAGAGCGTCTCTCTTGTCTAAAGCTCACCTTTCCCTCTCCCCTACACAGTTCTTTGTCCTTTGTCTGTTTTCAAGCTCCTGGACCTTAGGTGCTAAACTTACTCCTGCTCTTTGAGGTCTTGATCCAGAGCAGAGGTTTTACATGGTCTCATAGAGTTTACAGTGTAGAAAGCTAAGAGGCTGTCTTATATTTTCCTCCTCATGCCAAGATATCCAACTAGGAAAATTTTAGGACTTTGGCAATACCAAATATTGAAACCTAAAAGTCCTAAAATAACTGGTAAAAAGGACGTATACATTTTATTAAGTCTAAGCCTGTTATATTTTATATTTTTTTTGTGTTTACTGAGTACATAGAAGTAGTTGCTAATTTTGATTGTATTTGGTAACTTTTCAAATGGATGCCAAGACATATTGTAAATTCAATTTTGACTTGGTCTCCTATTCTAAGAAAGGATGAGACTCTTAGGTTTTACCTGTGATTATTTTTTTCGCTAAATATCTGTCTATCTACAGAAAAGTAAAGCACATTTCCCATTTGAGACAAATACATCAAATAGATATAGATAAATAAACAGATGATAGATATAGATGGATAGATAGGTAGATAGAAATATATATATGTGAAGAAAAAAGGAAAGAAGAAGAGAGACTGAGGGAAGAGAAGATAACTTAATATTCAATATTGTTGGGCAATACTTCTCCCCATCAGGGGATCTGCAAGATTCAACCAAAGGCTCAAAAATTGAGCTAGGCCACTTCATTATTCCTAAGAGAAGGAAGTTAAAATAGACTTGAAGTAAATTTCCATCCATAGGGTTCTTAAGTGACTAATCTAGTGATCTAACTGCTTAACATAATAATTTAACATACAATAATTATATAATAACTATAAGTGAAAAGATTTTTGTCACAGGTTGCATTTAATAAGCAGAAAAAGTAGATGTGTTGGGACTTTGAGAATGGAAAGACTGAAAAGCCCATGAGATGTCTTTGCCTTTTAAAACACTCTCTATTGTTATAAGAAGGGGCTTATGGAGACACTCATTTATAAGATTTAACATGGGTTGTAACTTATAATATAAAAGTATGTATATATATGAATATTATAACTTATTTTTCAAGTGAAAATACTGATTATTTCCAAATCCTTAAGGAAATGCACATTCTGGTCTTTGAAATCAAATTGGAAAAGGACTTTACTGAGGAAGAATTTGTTATCTATCTATATATATATATATATACATAGCACTTAATCTAATTGGATATAGGAGCTGGATTGTGTGCATTGAGAACTTCATGAAGCCCTTTCCTGGGATTTAGAAGACACGGAAGACTGTAGTGCAAAGAGAAAGATAAAGAACAACACTTTTTAAGTAGTGAGTAGAGACAAGGTAAATTGGCGAGAGGTTTTCACCTTAACCTCCGGATCTCTAGTGTTTTCCCTTTAAAACTTAACTCCAGCCACATCTGAGAAAAGGCAGTCTTCACCAGTGATTTGGAGTCCCCTCCTTCCCCCCACACCAAGTAGGAACTGAGGTAATAGGTAGGCCCAATTCCAGTGCATGGAGTAGAGGTATGTGCTCCTGATGTTCCCAGTTAGAATTCTGGAGTCATTCTTTTCTTTATAAAAATATAGTTTAATAAAGTATTTAAGTTCTGTAGTTCTTAAAATATATTTAGATGTGGTCCATTTAACAAAGCAGGTTGGCAACAATCAGGACAGGTCAGAAATTAGAACCAGACCTACTGACTGCCCTGGAGGGACCTGAAGTGGGTGAGATAACTAGGCTGTGGTCAGCATGGACCTGGCCACAGAGGATGGTCAGGAGAAGAATCTCATCCAGAGGTCTAAAGATCTAAAGATCTAAAAGTCTTCCTGAAGTCACAAAGCATCTGCTTTATAACTGCCATGTCTAATGAAAGCCAGTATCAAAGTTTTCTTTTTCTTCTTCTGTCTTTTAATTTCAGTTAGGATTACAGTTTCCAGGTAAGAGTGGTTGATGATTAACAGACATTTCTTCCCAGGTAAGTAAATGACAGCTGTATGAAAAAGCATGGGCTTCCCAGGTGGCTCAAGGTAAAGAGTCTGCCTGCCAATGCAGGAGACACAAGAGATGCGTGTTCAATCCCTGGGTCAGGAAGATCCCCTGGAGGAGGAAATGGCAACCCACTCCAGTATTCTTGCCTGGGAAAATCCCATGGACAGAGGAGTCTGTTGGGGTATGTTCCGTGGGGTCGCAAAGAGTAGGACACAACTTAGTGTCTAGGCACACCCACACATGAAAAGGTATACACATGTTTGCAGTGTCAATATACTTCTCTTGTATAACTGTAAAACAAATACTAAATACAGACATTTATCTTCAAGGTTTCTTTCCAGAAAAATCATGAGAATTAAACATGCCCAACAATGAATCTGAGCCTCTGTCAATATTTAACTTAATAGCAATATCTGAGCATTTTGAAACCCTTATTTACAGGCTGGGCAAAGTATTATCTTTACAAGTTGCCACTTTTTTCTAACTTTTCATGTGATATTTTTCCAATAGATTGATAAAGAACAATATGAAAAAATACTTGACCTCATTGAAAGTGGGAAGAAGGAAGGGGCCAAGCTGGAATGTGGAGGAGGCCCATGGGGGAATAAAGGCTACTTTATCCAACCCACAGTTTTCTCTGATGTTACTGATGAGATGCGCATTGCCAAAGAGGAGGTAAATGGTTTCATTCTGTTCTGTTCTTTTTTGCCATATTTTGTCTGCATGGATATAGACAAAGTATTCCTTTAACATTCTCAGCTCTTTGAACACCTTCCTCAATAAATGTTATTCTTCATTTCTAATATTGATAAATGATTATTTTTTATTAAGACTAAAAATAGTCAGGAATTCATTGGTCAGGCCACGAATTTCCAGATGAACACAGATAAAGATGGTTAACAATTGCTAGGTGCTTCCTTCACAAACTTAAATGGAAAATACAATTCCACATTCATTGATTGTTTGCTTTTTCTCCTTTGGAAATAATATATTTGAAAATAATTGGAAAAGAATAAAGTGATATGCAGTTTTTAAAAATTAAACTCCGTATTCTGAGATAATTGGAGATCCAGTTGTCATTGTGAGAAATATTAATACAGAAAGATCCCATGTACTCTTTGGTTTCCTTCAATAGGTAACATCTTATTTATTTTTTTTTTTGGTAACATCTTATAAAACTATAATATCACAAAGAGTATGTTAACATTGATACAGTCAAGACACAGAACATTTCATCATCACATGAATTGCTCATGTTTCCCTTTCATAGCCAGATCTATATCCTCCTAGGCCACCCCATCCTCAATCCTCGGCTTTCTCTTCACCACTAATGTCTTCTTTATTTCTATAATTTTGTCATTTCAAGAATGTGACATAAGTGAATTCATACATCATGCAACTTTTTTGGATTGACTTTTTTCACCCATCATAATTCTCTATAGATTTATCTAGGTTGTTGCATGTAAGGATAATTTGTTCCTATTTATAGGTGAGTATTTCATAGTATGACTGCACCATAATTGTTTAACTATTCACTCATTGAAGAACTTTGGGCTGTTTCCAGTAAATAATGCTGTTATAAATATCAGTACACAGGCTTTTGTGTAAATGTAAGTTTTCACTTCTCTGGGGTAAATGCCTAGAAATATAATTCCTGGGTCATATGCTAGATGCAACTTTTTAAGAAACTGCTAATCTTCCAGAGTGGCTGAACAATTTCATATTCCCATTAGCAGTATATGAATGATTCCAATTTCTCTGCATCCTTGCTAACGTTTGGTGTTGTGACTATTTATTTTAGCCATTCTGATAGGTGTGATAGCTCATTGAGGTTTAAATTTACATTTCCTTAGTGACTGGTAGGGAGAAGGAAATGGCAACCCACTCCAGTATTCTCGCCTGGAGAATCCTGTGGACAGAAGAGCCTGGAGGGCTGCTGTCCATAGCGTCGCACAGAGTCAGACACGACTGAAGCAACTTAGCATGCATGCATGCACTGGAGAAGGCAATGGCAACCCGCTGCAGTGTTCTTGCCTGGAGAATCCCAGGGACGGGGGAGCCCGGTGGGCTGCCACCTATGGGGTCGCACAGAGGCGGACACGGCTGAAGCGACTGAGCAGCAGCAGCAGCAGTGGCTCGGAATTCTGAACATCTTTACCTGGGGTTATTTGCCACCTGATGTCTTCCTTGATAGAATGTCTGCTTTCTTTTGTCCGTGTGCTAGTCGGAGTGTCTGCTTTTTCCTGCTGAGTTTTGAGAGTCCCGTATACACCCTGGACACTTCCTGTTTCTTAGCTGTGTGGTTCGCAAACATTTTCCCCGGGCTGTAGCTTGTCTTTTCATCTTCTTACCAGGGTCCTGCTCAGACCAAAGGTTTTAATTTTAAGGCAATCCAATTTATTCATTTTTCTTTTTATGAATAGTACTTTTGGTGTCAACTCTTATGAGCTACTCTTTATTTACTCATAGATCCAAAAAACTTTTTCTGTGTAATTTTTTTATTGTTTCTAAAAGCTTTATAGTCTATGTTTTACACATAAGTCTGTGATCCATTTTAGGTTAATTTTTATACAAGGTGTGAGATTTAAGTAAAGGTTGTCTGCTTTTGTCTATATGTTCAATCGCTCCAACAGCATTTGTTGAAAAGGCAGTTTTTCTTCCACTTCATTACTTTTGCAACTGTCAGCATTTCAGTTGTGTGTATTTGTATGTATCAATTTCTGGGTTTTCTACCCTTCAGTTCATCTACGTGTCTATTTCTCCACCTGTACTCATTTTTGAAATGTAATTATTTTTACTGAAGTATAGTTGATTTATAATGTGTTAGTTTCAGGTACACAGAAAAGTGGTTCAGTGATTCTTTTCAGTGATAGACTATTACAAAATATTAAATATATTCTTTTGATTTTAGTAGCTGTATAAGTCTTGAAATTGGAAAGATGGCATTCTCTCACTTTATTCTTCTGTTTCAAAATTGTTTTAGCTAAGCTAATTCTTTTGCTCTTCCATATAAATTTTAGAATAAGCTGTTCATATGTATTTTAAAATCTTGCTGGAACTTTGAGAGGAGTTGTGTTAAACATATCAGTCTGTTTGTAGAGAATTAACATCTTTATTGTGTTAAATCTTCCAGTTATTGAACATAGTAGGTCTCTGTTTATGTATATCTTCTTGTATTTATTTCACTAGCACTTTGTAGTTTTCAGTATACAAGTCCCATAAATGTTTTATTGGACTTATACCTAAGTATTTTTTGAGTAAATGGTTATTTCTGATTTCAATATGCACATGTTCATTGCTAATATGTATTAATAGAAGTGTACTTGATTTTTTTATATTTTATTGTATCCTGTAACATCACTGAACTCAGATATTTTGGAAGGTTTTTGGAGATTCCTTGGTAATTTATATGTACACAATTATGTCATCTACAAATGGGGACAATTTTATTCATTTCTAATCTGTATGCCTTTTAATTTCTTTTTCTTGCCTTTTTCACTTGCTATAATTCCAGCACTGTGTTAAATAAAATCAGTAAACACGGGTGTCTTTTTGCTCTCTATCTTAGGAGGAAAGCCTTCAGTCTTTACCATTGAATATAATATTACCTGTAAGATTTTCATAAATGCCTTTGATCAGGTTCAGAAAAACCTTTTTATTTTTAATTTGTTGAGGGGAAAAGGAGGTTGGATTTTATCAAATGATTTTCCTGCATCAACTGAGATGATTATGTGGTATTTTTTCCTCATTCTATTAATATGATATATACTGATTGATTTTTGAATGCTGCGTCAGCCTTGCATCTCTAGAACGATCCTCACTTGGTGATGGTATATCATTCTTTGTAGGTATTGGTGAACACTAATTGCTAATATTTTTTAGGAATATTTGCTGTAGCTTATAATGGTCTGTGGTTTGAGGAATATTGGTTGTACTTTTATTATTTTTATTGATAACAAAATAACATTTAGTGATTGTTTACTATGTGCTAAGTGCCTTATAGTCAATATAAAACATAAGTATATTTACATGAAATACTAAATATAATAAATATAAATCTTTTATTCATATATTTTTAGACTTATATTTATAAGCATTATATACAAATATTTAGTTGTAATCTATTACTTTGACTTATTTCATTCATTTCTTTCTGTATAGATATTTGGACCTGTGCAGCAAATCATGAAATTTAAGTCTTTAGATGATGTAATCAAGAGAGCAAACAATACTTTCTATGGGTTATCAGCAGGAATTTTTACCAACGATATTGATAAAGCCATCACAGTCTCCTCTGCTTTGCAGTCTGGGACCGTGTGGTAAGTCAAACCTATGTAATGTCAACTTTTCAATGCTAAGCACATTAACAGGCTACTCTGAACTCTCTCTGACACTCACACTGAATCCCTTGCCTAGCCCCTAGTCTCTGGACTGCTTTGTTAGTTATTTTTGTTCCATCAAATTGGACTTTGTCCACTCAGTCCCAGTAACAGCCCAAGATTATTTTTCGTGCTGATAATGTCACACCCAAATCCATGAAAAGTATTTATCCTTGAGATGTTGAAAAGTATTTACCCTTGAGAGGCAGCCAAAAATCTTTGTCCCTCTCAATATCTCTAGAATCTTTTTTTCAGAAGCAATGGGACAGTCACGATTTCATTACCATGTATTCTGCGCTAAGCCCCACACTGTAGTCCTCACATTTATTATCTCATTTTACCTTACTGCAACTGTTCATTGGTATGGTAAATTTATCGACAAAAAACCAGTAGGTTAGTGGGTTCATGTATTTGATCAAGATCACACAATAAATGACCGCTGAGGTTCAGACTATTTCAGACTCTAAAGCAGTGATTCTCAACACTGGCTGTACATTAGAATGGTCTGGGGAGCTTTAAAAATATCTACACTGATGTGGGTGAAGGTGGGTATGCATCAAATCCACCAATTATATCAGTGATTGTGACTGAATCTGGATGTAGTTTTTAATTTTTAAAAATTCTAATTATTCATGTTTTTATAATTATATTTGTTCATATAGACATTTTGAAACTTTTTAAAAATATGGCAAAGGATAAAAAAAATTATATAATGAAATTCAACTCCTGCCACAGCCTTTGTTTAAGCAATTCTTTCAATTAGTTAATGAAAAAAGTGAACTAAGTAATATGAGATATATTACAATTACAAAAAATTGATTCTAGCCTAAGGACACAACCCACAAGAGAACTACAAAGCTTATTGAATACAGGCAGTAAAGAACGCTCATCCAACAAACTCTAGTCTCTCACAAACGGTTTCCATCCACTTACTGTGTGTTGGGTATTCTATCTTTTATAATTCAAGCTATAACTTCTCAGGGACATGATGTACTGCCAACATGGCTATCCACACATAGCATAAGATCATTGCTTTTATTTCTAGTCAGTATATATACGTATACTTACACTCCTGCATTCTAATTTATAGTGCTACTTCTTTTAAAAAGTGACCATGTAATATTAAAATTAATAGAGTTGTTAAAGAACTCTGAATTTCAAAAATTCCAAATTTAGAAGTTCTAAATAGGTCAAGTGTGACCTATAACATACTTCTTTCCTTTTCAGGGTGAACTGCTATAGTGTGGTATCTGCCCAGTCCCCCTTTGGTGGATTCAAGATGTCTGGAAATGGTCGAGAACTGTAAGAATAACTTTCATTAAGATAAATATTTATCTTGATAAAAATGGTTATCACTCTGAAGGAATTATAATAATCCTTGAAAGTGAAAGAGTTAGTCACTCAATCGTGTCCCACTCTTTGTGACCCCATAGACTGCAGCCCGCCAGGTTCCTCTGTCCGTGGAATTCTTCAGGCAAGAATGCTAGAGTGGGTTGCTATTTCCTTCTGCAGTGCTTCTTCCCAAAACAGGGATTGAACCCCACGTCTCCTACATTGTGGGTGGATTCTTTCCCATCTGAGCCACCAGGGAAGTTACTATTCAAATTAAAACCTGCTTCTGTGCTTTCCTGGAGATTTATACTGTCAAATAGTTTTTAAATGCTGGATTTACTCTCAAAAGTGCAAAAATGTGATGACAGAGGGAAATATTATTTATTAAACTTTTTGTAAGGGATCATACTAAGCACTTACGTTGGTTCTTGAAATATCGCCTACTTTTTATTTGCTGGACACATGAATGTAATTTGGAAAACATTTCCAGAAAGGAGGTAGAAACCACCAATTGGTGATTGTAAAAAGTGTGCAAATATAAGAATGCTTTAGCTATTTGAATATATCTCTTAAATGAATAAATTAGGTGTCTTTATCTCAAAATACTTTTCAGTGTAGGAGGAATGATTCTCATTGTTAATATTTTTAGACATGTGACTCTAAAAATTTAAATAACTTAAATGAGTTGTTTTCGGTTCTAAAATTTAAACTGAAAGGAAAATTTATTCAAGGAAAACATGTTTTACAATCATGACTACATTGAGGATATATATGTTATATAAATGAGTTTATGAGCCTTCAGTTTCTTTTCAAACTGGGACATACTGACTTTTTAAAATATACACATACATATTTATGCATAGCATGTAGTGGTAATGTTTGACCAATTTTGCTCAAGCAGTTTTAATCATTTTATTTCTTAAAATTTTCTTACATTTATCAATAAATTTAAAGAATCATAAAGAAAAGTCACATCATATTCAAACCTTATGAAATCAAACATAGTGAAACTGCTCATTTTGTAAATAGCAAGTAAAAATTAGCCTCTGTCTGAGAGTATTAAATCGCTAGGTACTTGTCATTTAAATAAAACAATATCACAATGAAACAACTGTCTTTGGGGAGCCAGTGAAAGGGGGCCATGTTAAAATGATCCATCCTCTTTCTCAATATACTTTCATTAAGTAGTTACTCTATATATGAGGTCCTTGGAGCCCTACAAACACAATACCGTGTCCCATCTTCCATATAATTGCAGTGACATGCTGCCGCTGCTGCTAAGTCACTTCAGTCGTGTCCGACTCTGTGCGACCCCATAGACGGCAGCCCACCAGGCTCCCCCGTCCCTGGGATTCTCCAGGCAAGGACACTGGAGTGGGTTGCCATTTCCTTCTCCAATGCATGAAAGTGAAAAGTGAAAGTGCAGTCGCTCAGTCGTGTCCGACTCCTAGCAACCCCATGGACTGCAGCCTACCAGGCTCCTCCGTCCATGGGATTTTCCAGGCAAGAGTACCATGTTAAAAAAAAAATATATATATATACACACACACACACACACACACACACACACACAGTGAAAATTAACAACACATACTATGAGATAAATAATAACAGACTGTGAGTCCATAGGTCATGGAGGTAGAGAAGCAATTAAAATGCAGAGTACAGTATTAGAGCATAGAAAATCTGGGCACCTATAGACTAAAACATTTTCAGCATCTCTCTGAGTCTCACTATTTCCATATGTTAAAATCAGCATTTGTGGTGGGGACAGGAGTCAGGGAAGAAAATAAAAGGTCTATGAGCTCTTTTCCATGCTTAAGATTCTGTGGCTCTAACCCTCCTGTGGAAATTCAGTTGATAAAGACAGTTGATAGAATAAGAGAAGATGTAACAGAAAAGACAGGACTTGATCTAGGGCAGGAAACAAGTGTCAGATGTTAGGAAGTAGAGAAGAGGACATTTGTGAAGGAATATTCCAGGTGGCATATTGAGGGGTTAGTGAATTTGCCTGGCTGGTAGGGAATTATGGGGGAAGTATGATTTCAGAGTTAAATAGGATACAGATTAAGAAGGCTTGAATTCAAGAAAATCAGCTTACATTTATTAGTGGAGCAGTGAAAAGCCATGGATAGCTTTAGAATATTGTTGGGGATGTAGAGTAGCAAAAGATCAATTCATCAAAAGTGCACGACATAGCTGAGAAAGCATAATTGGAAACTAATCAGCCTGCATTTGAATCCTGACTCCACCACTTGCTAATCTTGCCACCCAGTTCAAGTTATCTAATTTCTGAGCCTGTTTTCTTCTACTTAAAAGGGGAATGTTAATATTCCTTTTAAGATGGTCTTGAGAGTTTAAAGAACATACTTCCTATTCATTCCTTAGTACTCTGTCACAAAGTGGGGACTCAACAAATAGTTCATCCTCCCCAAGTTCTTTTTCCTTATAATATCCATTATTGGGGAGTCCCTTGGGAGCACTAAGTATTTTGTACAAAGAACTATAACGAAAGTTAGATTATTTTGAAATTAGTTGATTGCTGGCCCAGATATCCAATACAATTCCCTAGGAATGTTGAAAATAAAATAATCAGAAGGGATGAAATAATTAAAGCAGACTAGACATATAAATTTTGTTAGATTGTTAGATACAATTTAGTCAAACTATATGTTCAAGACATAAGGAAATCAAATAAGAGACGGAGAATCGGCCATAAATTATTCCTAAAAATGTGGAATATGGGTATAGATAACTTCCTTATTAAAAAATATAAAGGAAAATGTTATACTGTAATTTTTACTTCAAAAATCCCAGCTGAGGATGCTAGTGTTAATGTCTATCTGAAACTAAAGTTGGCAAATTTAGTAAACAAGTCATTCACTGAAAGATGTTTAAAGAGCATTGCTGAAGCAATAATCTCAAATGACTCCCAAGAGTTCAGGTACAGTTTATCCTCAACGATAGAAAGGTAGAATTGACCATCTGATTGATCATTGATCAACAGAGTCCTTCAAGAGTTAAAAATAATAGTATACAAACCCCACTGAGGTACTGTTTCTGGGTGCCAAAGCTGAATTGGCACTCCCATCGTGATGTTAGCTCTGGAATGAGTTAAATGGCAGAAATCCCTCTCTGTGTGTAATTGGACTCATTTTTACTTAGATTAACATAGGTCACTTGAGAGTTTAGTAGTATGCCATTTCAAACTTAATTGGCTCTTAACACTTCACAAGGTCTTTCTTTCTTCTTGTCCCTTTCAGAAATAGGGAGAAATAAAACATCATAAACTGGTGGGCTAACATGAATAGTTTTTGCTTGATTATATTTGCCAAACCAGTTCAGCAAACATTTCCTCTGTGCCTATTTAATTAATTAGTGCCAAGCTAACTTCTGGATACAGGGTGAAAAACAGGCATAATATGTGACTGCATCTTATTACTCCAGAGTGCACCCTGGAATAGGAGCACGGGTATCATCTAAAAGTGTCTTGGAAATGCAAAGTCTCAGGCCTCTCTCCAGACCTGCTGAAATAGAATCAGCATTTGAATCAAATGCCAGGTGACTGGTACATTGACAATTTTAGAAGCACAGAACCAATAACTCACAGACTAGTGATATAAAGAGAAATGTAAACAGGTATTTTGTGTTATATCAAGACATAAGAATGTCTATACATCAGAATACTAAGAAGCAGGGTTTATTTCAGCTCAAGTAAGACAATTATCATACTTTGTACTCTCCTGAGAGTTTCAAGTGTCCATGTAACCCAAAATACAATGGAAAGTCTATTGGCAAAAATCATGGGTTAATATATCTAACTTTGTGAGATAAAAATACTTACTAAAATATTATCCTTTAATGGATTTCAGACAACTGGGGCTAAACCCTTTAATTACTTTGAAGAACATGCTCACTGAAGCTTTTAGAAGGTATTTTCAGAAGCTTAATGGTCCAAGAAAATAATCAGTGTAAGAGGATTAGGTTACCGAGGAGAAAAAGATGTCTTCTACATACCTGTCTACATCACCAAAGGGGAGGGATAGAAAAGGATCAAGATCTTTTTCCTCTGTAAGTCTACATGTGCATGAGTGTTACGATTTTAAGAGTACTCTTATGTTCATGTAATTTAATCGTTTCATCAAAACAATATAGAGAATAAGTTAACCTAATTTTTTAGTTATCTCTTTAAAGAAGGGTAAATCACAGTTTCTAAAACTGGTAGGAGGTCTCAATAAAACTGATAGCAAGATATCAGAGTTTTGATTGATTGACTCAAGTTTAATTACTGATCATTTGGGTTGGATTTAAGAGTTATATAGCAAATGACAGGGGGTTCATGAATCAAAAAATCCACAAAAAAGTCCCACATTTTAGCTCAATGAACCCTCTCCCCCTCTCAAAACAAAACAAAACAATCAACCCTACATTCAAATAAAAACCTGTAACAATAAGGTCAGGTTTTTGTTTTGCTTTATTCTGGGGCGATTTTGCCTTTGCCAAGAATCAAAAAATATTACTACAACTACAGCTAGAAAATATTCTGTTCTGTTTTAAGCTAAGCTCAGATGGTAAAGAATCTGCCTGCAATGCAAGAGATCCAGGTTCGATCCCTGGGTGGGGAACATCCTCTGGAGAAGGGAATGGCAACCCACTCCAGAATTCTTGCCAGGAGAATCCCGTGGACAGAGGAGCCTGGGGGGCCACAGTCCACAGGTTTGCAAAGAGTCGACATGACTGAGCAACTACCACTACTAGGGTAAGTTAGAATGAAAATAGAAGCCTGGTCATTTTTAGCTACTTCCTCATTTCTAGACCAATTGGAAATGATGAATACACTAAACTGAACTTGAATTTACAATTTTTCCATATTACCCAGGTGATTATATTTTGAATATAACTATATTTCCTCTAGTAATATACCTATCTTATATATTAGAACCTTAACTAGAAATTATAAAATTCCTCTTGGGCTTGTGTTTATGTGTGGTGAGCACTTTCATAGTCAAGTAGAAAAAAATGTCAAAAATGAACAGTTTCCTTAAAAGTCAACTGAGTGTATATGATAATTTAGAGCATGAAAAAAAAAAAAGTAAAAAGTTTTCCCAAAGGGGATTTATATAAGACCAGATATCTTATGGTAGACTAGCTACCTCTTGAAATGCTTCTGTACACAGACCACAGAAAATATTTTCCATTGTCCCCAGCCGGATAAACAGGAACAAACTTGTACAAAGTCATTGACCATAGTGTATTTGTACAGCTCTGCTAAATTCTGTGCATTTTTTTCTCCACTCTCTAGCGGAGAATATGGTTTCCATGAATACACAGAAGTCAAGACGGTCACAATCAAAATTTCTCAGAAGAACTCATAAACTCTGAGAGTACAGAGATGACTCCTCAATGGCTAAGCATCTCCTTCAGTGGCTAATATATCTTAGTGGTTTTAAATGCAAAATTGTTCTTTCCTTGATTCTTTAAACATAAGCTAATCATATTAGCATTAATACTACAGATAGAAAACTTGACATGTACGTTACTCTAAAAGAATCATCAGCCTTCTGATATGACACCCAAGCCCTCCCTGAAATAAAGATAATGGACTTGGATGCAATTGCTCTAGCTCTGTAATAGTCATGTGCTTCTCTTTATAGCTCCTTGCCTAGGATAATCACTTTATAGAGGAGGACAAGTTGTCATTTAGCATCTTTCTCTTGATGACCCCTTGAAGTACTTACCATACCTGTTAACTTCAGACTAGGTATGCTCTGTTCTCCATAGTGATTCAGTCCTTGGAATTTGTTGAAATGTTTCCTAGAATGTCATGTCTGCTTGTCAAATGAAGTAATGCCTGAAATACTTAGATGTAACCTAAACATACAGCTTAATAAAAACAACCTTGCATGATTCTTGTTCAGTGTGAATTTTTTAAGTAGAGTTTTGGCTATAGTGATTTACTCTCCCTGTCACTCAAAAGCAGTGTTAAATTGAGCATAAAGATGTATTTAAAAATAAAGTTTAATCTATTCATTCTCAAATAAGTAAAGAAACAAATTTTATTTTCTGAAAGAATTTTTGAAATCAATAACAAACATTTGAGATAGGTGGCAAGCATTTACTGAATTCCTATAGAGTTCTGGGCACTATGTTAGGTGTTGTAGAAAATAGGTTAATAGTGGATGGTCCATTATCTAAAACGCTTTAATATGTAGAGAACAAAGATACTGTCTGAAAAAAAAAAAAAGATGGGGCATGTAATGTAAATGAGGATTAAAGACCATAAGATTATAGTAAGATGCCAAAGAGTAGTGGTGACCAATGCTAATGAACCTGGGAATGGCATGAAGGAAATTTGACTGAATATGAATATTAATGATGAGAAATTTGCAATGAATAAAGAGGAAAGAAGTCCTACAAAATAGTACCTCTGGACATATTCCATCAAAAAAATTCTATATAATATTTTCCCCTCTTGGAGTTTCTGATTGCACACTGGTATAGTCTAAGTTCTGACAGAAGTCCTACAACTTGTTTAGTTTTGTTTAATACGTTTTTTCCCCAAATTTATTTAACCAAAGGCTTTGCTTTCCCTTCACTCATTTAATACCAACAAACATTAGGAACCCCGTGTTGGAAGATGCTGTTCTGTGCAACAAGGTAGTGCTGAGTGTTCTGATCAGAGATCTAGGGGTCATAGGGAAGCAGCAGGGAAAATATCATCTGTAAAACTAACAGGACCATATTTATGTATTTTTGCTCTCAAAGAGCCTCTTTTTATGCTCCCACATGGGAAGTGACTTAAGTCCAAATATAATGTTTTTTGTATATTCCTGGGTTGGGAAGATCCTCTGAAGAAGGGATAGGCTACCCACTCCAGTATTCTGGCCTAGAGAATTCCGTAGACTATATAGTCCATAGGGTCACAAAAAGTTGGACACGACTGAGCGACTTTCACTTTCACTTTCATACATATTATAAAACTCTTAGTTCAGCAATTTAAAATTTAAGCCTAGTAACCTTAAGGATGACACTTTTTTTCCAGATTCAAATTTTATATAAATGGTTAAGCTTGTCATTTTACATTAACAGATTCCTCAGTGACACTGTTACTAGAACATTGTAATAGCTGCCATGGTCAAGTGCAACAATGTGTGAATGAATGAAATTTAGTAGCCTCTTAGATCTGAAATAATTTCATTTCTAACTGCAAGAGTTTCTCTAATTTGTATGGGCCTGTAAGATTTGCAGTCTGTTTTACATAATTTGGGACATAATGACCATTTTGAAAATAGGAGGAATTAAAGTCTAGGGAGAACTGAAAGATGTTAGGACACTGAGAAGGGAAAAAAGCCAAATACAGAGGAGGGTTGTATTTTCCAAAAACCAGACAGTGTCTACATTATGAAAAGATGTTTAAAGTCATACACAAATAAATTGATAGACAAGTTAATACTGTAATGGTGTACCACCAGAACATTTTTAAATGTTGAACAAAGAGGGATGAACATAGAACAAGACAAAAGCCAGAAGCAAGTTTAAGTATTTGAAAATGAAATCTTCCTTATATAAATAAAACATTACAGGATTAAACAAAAAAAAAATCTGTTTAATATTGGCTCATTCTGACCCTGTAGACATAATTTGTGTTTCTTCTCCTCTGATTTCTAAAGCTATACTAGCAATAAATCTTAAAACATTGAAAAGTTAAAGGTATCTTATTAACCCATGACTACAGGATGTACAAGAGGAATTTTATCATAAAGAATTCAGTTCTGCAGTCACAAATGTGACTTCATGGTGACTTCATGGCCTTCAATATCCACATGGCAGAAGTACTTTCATCTCTAGGAACACCAAAGTAACTCATAGGAGTGAGAGGTAACTGTTTAGGAAAAGGCAGTATCAGGGGTCGAGAATGGATTCTCAAATATCTAGTGTCTTTTCTTTTTTTCCTTTCATTTTTTAGGATGCATGTTTCTGGGTTTATTTTGAAATAGTCAATGGGAAATAGAAAATATTTTTCTTAAATTCTTGTGGCCAACTAAAAATATAGTTAACTCAAAGTAAGAAATTTTAGTTATTTCTTCACATAATTCAGTGGGGAGTAATGGACCCAAAGACACCTTTGCCTGGGCTCAGGAATATTTTGAGTATATAATTTCACTTGTGCTTTTAGAAGTCTGCATGAGTCATCAAGTACAACTCTTACCTTTGGTGATTTTACAGGTATATCAAACAGCCAGATTATATTTTGACAAGAAGCATTAAGTTCCCCATTACAATTTCATTGTGTATTCACCTTGGGGTTTTTCAGTGCTCTCTGGAGGTGTATTTGAGTATTCCCTTTTTTATAGTGAGAAAATATAGAGGAAGGAGAATTGGAGAGGACAGCTAAATTCCCTGGATACCAAAATTCAGTGTCTACCAGAAAGGCATGGAAGCTCACTCCTGTAACCTGATGAGACTGTAGGAGTCTGGAAGATATCAAGACACAAATGAAGGAGAAATAGCTCAGTTATCCCTTTGACATTCTGTGAGAGGGGTGAGGGGAGAGATGGCATCTCTCTCTGAAGGTAAGGCCACAAAATTTCCAGGGGAGTTTGAGGTTTATCTAGACCATATCTTTAAATCATTCTTTAGATTCTAGGTGGTTGTTTTATTCTAAGAGAAACAGTCACATCCATTAACTTAATTTAAGATCCATAATTTAATGATCCATAATTTAGGATTATGCATTTTCATCTATTAACATCTATAAACACTTAGGATAATTTTAAAATCCCTAGAAAGTCAACTTTATTGCATAGTAGAATATCTATGCCAAGGGTATTGCAATGTTTTTTGCACAATTACTTCAGTGTAATATGCTAACTAGTTTCACAAACATTTAACTTAGTTTTCTTTCATTTTGTTTAGTTTAGTTGTGTTTTAATAGACATCTCTGAATTTTATGGAAGTGTTTATGGGAGGCTGACAAGGCATGATTCTGAAGTGATTTCACCAGAGTTTCATGATTTTAGATTTATTTTTGTAAAGTCACTTAAAGATTCATCAGACCTTGAGAAATATAACAAATATAAAAATGCAAATCTGATTAACCTGCCAAATAATTTTTAACTCTGTCATTTGAAAATAATTTAAACTTTTGGAGGAACTGCGATAACAACACATAGAACTCTCATATATCTTTTATTCACTAATTTTTAATATTTTTCATTGACTTTTTCATTCTCTTTCTCTATATAGATTCTTTTTTTTTTTGTCTTGAGACAAACTTTTAAGAATAACTCTTAAGCATCATGTCCCTTTACCCAAAATACTTCAGTACCTTTTTCTAGAAATAATGAAATCTTAGCCACAGTATAATTATCTAATTCAGGAAATTTAACATTGACAAGGTACTCGTATCTAATATACAATCCACATACAATTTTCTCTAATTGTCCCACTAAGGTCCTTTATGATATCACCCACCTCAATCCAAAGCTTAGTTGAGGACCATGCACTGCATTTACTTAACCATAGCTTCCTCTTACCTTACTGCTCCTTCATAATGGCTCTATACCTCGGACACACATCGAATATTCTGTCAAGTTGTGTTGTTGGCCTGGAGAGAACCCTACAGGACAAACAAAACTCAAAGTTACTGAGTTAACGAGAATCAGAGAAAAGCAGGTTTAACAGTTTTAAGGAATAAATATTTCATTTCAAGATCTGATTATTAATTACCATCCTCCATGGTAAACTGACAAGGATATTTATAAATTGGAAGATATACCTTCTCTCTTGGGCACTTTTAAAGAAAAGTTTTATGCTCTCTTGAGGAAATTAGTGACCGTCCCTTATTTGTACTACTGAAATATTGCCCTTTCTCATTTTATTTCCCAGCTTACTTACTTGAATATTTTCCCTTAATAACAGATTGCTTGTATTCTGCTGACATCTGAGGATGTAGCTTAATTTGAACTAATTACAAATCTCTAACCACATAGAAACATGCTAAATGACTTTCCTATCAAAGCGCAATGAGGACATAAAGATGTTGACCTTTGGAGTCAAAGAAATTCTAAATTCGGGTTCCACTGCTCACTAGTGGTATTAACCTATGCTAATTATTAAAACTTTTCTCATTTAGCAATCATTCAACAGATAATGGGGGCTACTGATATTTGGGGAGAATTATAATGTTCCACATAAGCACATGGTCCTTGGAGCCCAGCAATATGGTTTCAAATCCTTGTTCAGCACTCACTGGCCTTGGAATTTGGGTCAAGACACTCAACCTCTCTAAATTCAAGTTTATTTATCTATAAGAAGAAATCAATAATAGTACTTAACCTAATTGCATTATTCTATTAAATGAAATAATGTTTGT